AACTATCGAGATATGGCATGGCTTATCTCCTACGGAGCATTTTTAAAATGCAAAATCAATTGCACACCTATTGCTATGGTACAGTTCCAGTACAACCGTGAAGTTCCCTTTTCCTATTTCCGAGAAAACCAGCTTTCGATTTTCCGGCCTCATTCCAACAGCGGTGGCTGTTCTTGAATTGGAATAATAACAACTGAAAGGAATCTCAATCTCTCGAATGCGTGTTACGATGTCTGAGCTCTTCAGCGGAATCTCCAACACTTTGTTGCTGTATACAACGGCAGACTTCGTGTGTCTGCGAGTGGTACCGCATCCGGTCAGCGGTGTTCTTAAAATGAAGTGTGAGGAAGTTTCAGTTGCACCGCATTTTGGGTCCAGGAGTCGAATATGCTCTCGGTCCATTCCTTTGAGAATGGTTTTAGGGATGGTGATGGACATTTTGTTTTGAAGGCAGTTGACAATGACTCCCTTTGCTGTAAACAACAACAACAACAACAACAACAAACCATATATTAGTAGAGTAAAAAGACTTTACTGGTGGTGAAAGCTGGAAAAATGATGAAAACAATGGCACTACAGTTTATATTGAGAGCTCCCTCGAGATAAATAGAGATATAAGAAAAAGGAGAAAAATAAGGAAAATTGTTAATCGGCAAGCTCCGTTATGACGATCTTTAAAATCGGAAGCTACGAAGGCTGTTACCGAAAAAACATTACATAAGTATGACCTTCTTGGATCTTTAATACTTAGTATTGTACTCAGGGTATATTTGCATCATGTTCCTTCCAAAGTCGAATCCTAAAGTCTCTTTCCCCCTTAAATTAGGCCAAGTGTAGGAACGCATTAATATTTTAGAAATTCAGTTTTAAGTGCATGCGAAAACCAAAAACATTTTAAAACCAAAAACTTCCTACGGCCTCGTCTTAAAGAAGAAGGCTTTTATGAAACTCCGAATTGGCATATTATAGCCCTTCACTCATGCGCGAGTTGACGCGGATCTTAACTGCGTCGCTTTACCTTCACAAGTGTGATTGTCCGCAGCCAATGAGAGCTCTGCATCTGGGCATGTACACTCGTAACTGCCAGGTGTGTTTTCACAGTCGTGAGAGCATCCACCATTCTGCACAGCACATTCGTCGATATCTGGGTAGGTATATTTTCAAAATTATCGATTTGTCTATGGTCCAATGTTGTTCTGCAACTCTTTGAGGCAACAGAGTTATGTTGTGCCAATACCCTGCGTTAAAGGCAACACTTCAGCCTTGGTGAGAGTAGGACGGCGTTTCAACTTTTTGGCGCCCTTATAATTTTTCCTACCTTACTAAAAGTGTGAACTAAGCCTCAGCTTAAACGCACAATGCAATGCGAAACGATTTGCACAAGAACCGCGGTCCATATTTTTAGCCTTAATTACAGCCACTATGTGTTGTACTTTTATATACTTTTTTGCTACAAATATCTTATATCCTAAGGCTTATTCCTAAATAGAGCGCGCTTTCTAAAAGTTTCTAAACCCGAACCTAAGTGCTATTTTCTTTGTTTTATTATCCAATTCATACTCCCTGTTGGTTCCCATCTTACAAAATTCTTATTTACTGTCTTCAAAGTTTCACTCTTCAATGCAATCTATTATTTCGATCTGTACGAGGCCCAACACAAGGCAAAGAGATGCATTTAATGGATATGAAAAGTCGAGAAAACTTGTCCTGATTTTGTGATGTATTCTTATTTTAAAGCAGTGCATTTACAGCAGTTAAAAGGAATGAAAAGTTGTAATAAACATTGTAGGTATGTGAAAGGGGTACCGTTTTTCAGTAAACGTATGCGAAAGGGGAACCAGTCTTTGCTGTCAAAAATGGTGTATAAAAGGGTAAGGGGTTGGACCTCAGGGCGGAGCCTCCCGATACATGACTTTGTTGAGTACTTCCAACCCCGGGCGCGATATCATGCTTTGATGATGAAAAGAAACCTGTGATATTAGCTCTAGGTGCATTGAGAAATTTTGTTTATGTTTGTTGCGAGATGACAAAAAATAACCTCGTTTGCAACGCAGCGTACTTTAACGGTCTGCATTTGCTGGTTGAATTAATTGACAATGTCAAACTGAACACAAACAATATGAGTGAAGTACAAAATGTCTTAGTGCTATGAATAAGACGCTACTACTTAAGGTGCTTCATTTAAGTTCGCATACATGGTGAGTTCTTGTCTAATCATACCTATAAAAAATATCTGTAACCCTAACCCGATTGGCTATCAACAGCCCTGATTGCGTACGAGTCATTTTTAGTCATTTACCTCGAACTCTAACGTAAATTTCACACAAAATCTTTTTTTCCACCTGCGACATACAACCCGCGACCCGCGACCATTAGTCACACTCGCGTACAGGACGTAATAGGCCATTTCCGAGTTCCCCAGGGCCTCTGTTTCAAAACGACGGTAGGTGCTCAGCCTTTCAGGAGATATGGAAATCATTTTTCATTCTCATGCAGCTGTAAAACTCATTTTCGTAAGAAAGGTTGTGCACTTAGCCTCATTTTGAGAGTGAGGGTTTTTGGAACTCGGAAGTGGCCTATTGGACAGAACACGTCATCGCGCGCACAGTAATTGTACAGTTGTACTTGACGGGATTCCGTTTTACGTTAGTATATAATACTCTCTCAAGAGATCCTCTGTTCATGTAAAACAAAAGTTCAAATTCTCATAATTGGTAACTCACATTTTAGTATCACAGAAAACTCGAGTCGTCCGGGCCTGTCTGTAATCGTGTAAAAATTGGATCACTCGAACGATTAAACCCGAGTAAGCTCCACCCAGTATTTTTTTACTGACCTTCCTCGCAAGTATCTCCTTTAAAGCCTGCTGCACATTTGCATGAGAAGCTATCGCCTACAGCTACGAGACAGCTCCCTCCGTTCTTACACGGAACGCTGGTACATGGACTGACTGCAAAATAAAAAGAAATCTATTGCTGTCACACCAAGTTTCAATCTATAAAAAGAAAGCCGACGTCGCCAACATGCAGAAGGGACTCCAACACAGTCTTGGATCCTGGATTCCATTATTTTAGATACTACATTTTGGATTCTTTGACAGTGGAACTTAAATTCCGGAATCCTTGAGTTGTATTCCGGACTCCAACAAAACAAAAGAAAGATTTAGAATCACGCTTACGGCAAACGTAGATTGCCGTGTTCTGTTACTTACTAATTTATTCACACAAAAATTAGTAATTTCAAGCCAGGATTATCAAGAAAAATTGTTTTGAAGTGTTTTTACCTACTTATTTTCTATTTTGAGAAATTCTCAACTTGACTCTGACGTTTTCCGTTTGCCGTCAACGTAACTCTAAAGCTTAAATGCCTGTCTAAAGAATGCTCAACAATGCAAGACCATGGGGACATTATCAACTGCCATCATTAACATTTGGAGTTTAAGTCTAATATGTCATAATATTGCGAACTTATAGTTTCACTTTTTTCATGTAGTATTTTTCATTCAAGAAGGGACATATAAACCGCTTGTACCGAAAGAATAAAATCACATGCGATGTTATTTTTTTACTTATGTAGTATTCGAACTGAATTCATTTTAAAAAAAATTCATGGCTGAGTATGCACCCATATTTGAAAATCAGTTAAAAGACTCTTTCACAAAATTACAACATAAATAGCTCACTACTAATCGATTTTTCTAATCAGCTGATGTGGCTGTGGATTGCAATTGTTATTAACAATGGAGAGTATATTTCGTGCAGTAGCATTCAAATATATATTTATTTATGAAGGCTCTCAGACGTGTCCTGCATAATGAAACTCTTAATCTTTGACAGATTTAAATCTCAAACAAAGTTACGTCACATAGCAAATTTTAGCATCTAACCTCCAGAGGATTCCTCAAAGACTGCTCCATCAGGAAAATCATCGACTTCTTCTTCGAGGCTGTCTACAAGTTTGTCATTTGTCAGCTGATTTGTGTATACAGTTTTTCGAGACATGACTAGCGAAGACAGGCTTGAACCAAAAATCAGCACTATGACCGTCAAATCTTTCATGATAATTTTAAAAAGATATCAAACTCCTTCCTCTTTCACTGAATTTGCCGAATTAGCCGGAAAAAAAATTGCATTGCTCTTTTATAGGGATAAAGAATTCTGCCGGAATGTATGTCAAGAAAATAATGTATTGAAAACCTGTCTTAGGCGACATATCACGATCCAAGGTTAGGAAATTCAGTCCATATGTTTGAGAAAAATTTAGAACAGTTTTTAATCAGTCTTTAATCATGGAAGATGATGCAATCATTGTCGCTTTTGCAATTGAGTTCATTTCCTTTTATATGCTTCACAGTTTAACAGAGCCATTCAAAATATTTGTTTCGTTGTCGAAAATGATGTGGCACACCTCAATGCAAATAAAGGTACGATAATTGTTTCAAGCCTTTATTTGTGTGATGTTTATTCCTTTTATTCTTTGATAAAACTACAACGGTCAGGTTTTTCAAGATTTTTACTTTTTCTGAAATCTTTTTAAGATATGATCATCCAGTCAATGTTAATTGTACTTTTTATTCTTGTTTTCGTATCACTTACAATTTTTGATTTTCACAATTTCACAACTAGCAATTTTCCACCCTTGTGCAAAGGAATTTGGAAAGTAATGAGGCACAGAGTACTCGGTGTAAAAAACGACGATAGGTGCATGACGAAAAACAGTGAAAACAAAGGAGTCAAAACAACCAAGGAAGACCCCAAGGACTTAACACTGCAATGAATAAATTTCCTGAATCACTCTACTCAAGGTTTATAGTGAACATAATAAAAAAAAATCAGCGGATTTCTCTTTGAGATCTCTGCAGTGTTGAGGCCCGCGTTTAGTCAAAGTTGGTCGACAATTATGCCCATTTCGTGCGTTTTTCTCCTACTGTTATACCCTTTTAACCTGGTGTTTGTTCAAGCAATTAACATTGAACCGAAAGAAATAGCATTGGACGGTGGTAAGTGATGTTTCTATTATAGAAAATTTGCAAGTTACCTTAACTTTCACACACAGAGATTTTTCTGCTAGCAACGCTGGCATACGGCGTGTCATGGTAAAGCTTCTTTATATGTCAGTGACGTTTCTAATGGCAAATTAAGTTTGTAAGCCGGGTAGCCTGTGTAGCCAGCGGGATTATTATTTAGCAAAGTTTTGGTAGAGGAAGTGCGAAGCCGTGCGGAGAATTTACATGGAAGGAGACGAAATTTCCTGGCGCCTTCGGCGCTCGCTTCTCGCAGCAAAGCCGCTAGAATGGCGGCTGGCTCACCAAACCCCTCACAAGCGCAAAAACAATTCCCCCTGTTACGCAGGCTATGGGTCCCGCGGAATGTCGGATCTGTCCGGCAAACCCAATCCCGTTTGCTTTCTTTCAATGGCAGAATTTGAATACCACTGTGCGTTCAGACACTTTACGAAAAGGACAGATGCAAAATCTTGGGTTTATCTCGGTGTAAGAACCTGTGAACTTTCTCTTTGCTTTGCACCGTTTGTTTTTCCAGGTGGTATTGTGATTACTTCATTGTTTTCTTTGTTTTACATCATCCGTGAGTTTAACAGGTTCTTACACAGAGTTTGAGCCAAAATTTTAATGTGAACATCATAACAATTCAATAAAATAGAACGAGCCTAAGAAAAAAGTCTTAGAAATACCCCTCCTCGATCTTAGTTGACATACAACAAAGTAAAAAATTAAGGGGCCTTTTCAACAAATGATTTTTAAAAATTATGTTATTCAAACTGAAAACCCTCACGGACTTGTACTTGCCTGTATGACTGCAAAAATAATGCGCTGTTCACACGAATCCGGACATGATTGAAGCAGTGTATTTTTTACCCAGATCATCGTGTGGACGGGGACTTAAACCACCTCTTAAGAGCGGTTTCAAAAAGATGCAGTTTCTGTGTGCGGATTCCCCGGGAGCAAGGAGGGGGGAGGGGGAGGGGTGGTACTGCCATACATGGGCTATATAGGTATGTGCCACTGTGAAGGGTATGGTTTTCAAGCAGTATACTCTGGGATAGGGTATATAATTAAGAGAGTTTGGGTCTAGAATAGGGTATCTTTTTCCATGATCAATTGGTTGACGATTTTAGTCTAGACTAGGGAAACCGGCAATTGCCACTGAAAAATATTTTAAAAAATGAAATCGGTTTTGTTTTGGCTGGATTGTGCTAGTGACCTCAGTAGTTTCTGGAAAACAGCTACTCTAGGATAGGGGGGATTTGGGGAGTATACTCTAGAATAGGGTAGCAAAATTCAGTTGAACTAGTTCTGGTATAGGTAAAAACTTTCAGGGTCCTAGCAGCACATCCCCACCCGAAAAATTCCTAAGTACCTCCCCCGGGGGGCGGATTCACTGGTTTCGAACGGACGGAGAGTTTGATTCGTGTAAAAAATATGCGGATTCGTGCGGGAGAGACTAAAATTTGCTATCGTAAACTTGCTTATCAAATATGGCGTATTTACACTGACAATTTCGTTTCCAGTCACCTGGCTCGATTTCACTCCGTCCTGGTGCACGCGATATGGCCGAAAGAAGCTGTCAAAAGAAGCAGTACCAAAGTCCGAAAGTTGCATGAGGTTATGTGTGAAGCTAAATCCTTACTGCAAAGCAGTGGAGTGGTGGACGAAAGCTGGCGGTTTGTGCTTTGAATGTACTCGGCCATCATGGATGAGACGGTACAGGGATGCCAGTGATCTCGCTAACCCACCGCATGTGTTCATTGAAAAACTCGGTAAGATTGTCATAAAAGATATCATTGGCCGTGGATGTGTATCCTGGGAAGACTCCCATATGAAAGAGGTGGGGATGATGGTCGGAAATTTTTAATTAAACCCCTAAAAGAGACCAATCTGGGCGTGGTCCGACCTTTTTTGACCCCTAAAAGAGACCATTTTGTGGACAAAGACATTCTGTTACAATTTCTCTTGGTATTGATGTTATAGAAAACTTTGATTACATGAATCGAGTAAGTAAACCGAATTGAAAATATACAATTTTTTATATTTCTCCGCTTGCAACCCTAAAAGAGACCTTTACGGCTAACTTTAGTGGCGTTTTGCCAGAAAACCCTAAGTTAGACCAAAATCCGACATTTACACCCCTAAGCAAGACGACGAGAATCCCCGCCCCTTTCATATGGGAGTTCCCCCCAAGATGTGTATAAAGGGTTTTGTTTATCTTTTGTCCCACGTTAGCCACTTAGCAACTGATTCGCAGCGTTTCGACCTCGTACTATTGGCCTTCCCATCATTCCATAGTGTCGATTTACTGAGTGTGTTTAGGGACGTTAAGATCCAACGACGTGACGACAACAACAACGTTGCTTAACCAGTGAATTAGCGTTATTTCAGTTTTTATCGTGATTATTCCTACCCACTTAGTTCGTTAAATGCAGGCAAAAACTCCTAAAGTTGAATTCCAAGGGAATATATCCAATGAAGTTCAAGAGGGAAAATAAAACTTCGCCGTTACTGGTTTAAATTCTCCCTGTAACGCGAAATTAGGCATTTTCACGTCGTAGTCGTGCAAAAACGGCAAAGAAATGTACATAACACGATGGTCGGTTGCTAGGGCTTTTGCTCCCGTTTGGTTCTTAAATACAATTTCTGGCTTACAGAGGGGTAGTTTATATTTCAAATGAAGCAAAACATCAGAACATCTTAATTGGAGAAAAGTTTTCTTTAAATTTTTACAATTGTAAAGGTATTTTTGACTTTTCTTGAAAGTATGACGTCATAAGTGACACCTATTTTTAGTAACAACGTTAAAAATTTGATAAGCAGTGTTCAAAATGCTACAAACATTTTTGTTACAGAAAAACAATATTTACAGTGAAAACCCCATCTCAATCGGATAAAATGGCGTGAAGTTACAGGTAACTAAAGAAATTCAAATTTCCCGCCTCATGACCATATATGGTCAAACTTTAGGGGTATTTTAACGCGAAAATAATGAATGTATTTACAACGAAAAAAGGACAAAGCTGCATAAAATCAAAATTGTAGTTTTTTGAATTCGGCATATGTGGTGCTATGACGCGTATTTCGTCACAAATTACGTCATTATGACGTCAAAATGACGTAATTCGTGACGAAATACGCGTCATAGACCACACATCCTAAACTCAAAAAACTACAATTTTGTTTTTATGCAAATTTGTCTTTTCTCCGTTGCGACTACCTTCATTGTTTTCGCGTTAAAATACCCCTAAAGATTGACCATATATGGTCATTTGGCGGGAAATTTGAATTTCTTTAATTAAATATAACTTTGCGCCTTTTCATCCAATTGAGATGGGGTTTTCACCAGAAATCATAGAATTCTATACAGAAAACTAATGTAAAACTTTTAGCATTTCTTTCCTGAATTTTCTTTCTGATGCCAAATTTGGACATCATTTATGACGTCACAGTAGAAGTCACATGGGATGAAATAAACACCAATAAATAGGTAATTTATCAACTTAGTTCCTTGCCAAGTTTTGTTACATTCGATGCATTCTACTTCTCTCTATGGCCTAAAACTCTCAGTTTTGAGAGGTATGGGAGCAAAATCCCTAGCAACCGACCACCGTGTAAAAAGCGTGCTGCACGTGCAAAATTGTTGTTTTGCTTGTTTTACCAATTGCTTTTTTATACTCTTTAAAAAGTCCCTTTTCTTGTCCCTTTTATTAGTACCACCGCGGTTGATTGTGATTGGTGTACCACGAACCTTTCTCGTGGCTGCCTGTGGCTTTCGAGCCAAAGCGTTGTTGGCATCATTAGTTCCTCTCAGCGGTCTGTTTTGGTACCGATTGGTTGTTGTGTTATCTTACCATAAGCACCCACGCTTTTACAAGAATCTCTATTCCACTGCTCCTGTTAATGTTTTTAAGGGTTAAGTCTTTTTTGAATAGCCTCTATATGCTTTACCAACTGCAACTGCAATTCTTTAAAAAAAAAAACTTAAAAAGTTGCTTGAAAGTAATTGATGGACTTATGGACCGCCATTATTTTTCACTAGTTAATACTTGTCAATCCAGTCCTTGTAAAAACGGAGCAACTTGCACGCAAACGGAAACTCCACAAAGATACGAATGTACATGCAGACTTGGTTACAAAGGAGTCAACTGCGAGACAGGTATCGTAGTGAAGGTTTTGTATTGCCTTGCTCATCTTCTAGAGTCCGGCCTGTTATAAATTCAAAGGAAAAAGAAATAAAAAAATATATTACCTGATGGATTGCAAATAACGAAAGTGAGAGTTTTGGGGAACTCAGAAATGGCCTGCATAACGTGCAATTTTCAATACAAATAGGAAGAACATGCTTACCCACTACTTGGTTTCCATATGAATTTCCCGCTATGTCTCCTCTTCAACCGCTGGTTTACATCCCGGATCTTAAATAAACCGACTGTGTGAGTCAAATTCCGTGGTCATAGCTTAAATGGACTTTTTCTAGCTACATCTCTATTACCAAAGTTAGGGACTCCTGCTATTACCGATGGACAGGAATTTGTGGACTGCTATGCGAGTCGATGGCAAGTTAAAGTTGATGATGTCATCTAGATCCCTCCCGGGTGGAATTGTATTTTTCAGACATAAGGTCAATATAATAAATTGCTGTTTGGCTAAATGGACTCTGGTACATTGTAAGACTTATTAGAAATAATAAGTGTCGTGCATCATTTTCGTACAGACATTAACGAGTGCGCTTATCACAATGGCGGATGTTCACACAACTGCAAAAATACAAATGGCAGTTACCATTGCTCGTGCCCAGACCCCGAGCTGAGTTTGGCACTGGATAATCATTCATGCATTGGTGAGTACCCTGTGATTTTAAATAAGGGGCGTTATGTGAAGATTATACGCGCAAAGAGAATGAGTCTGCGGAATAGATTTAATGTTATTAAATACCCTTATCAATTAATTTATCAATTGATTTCGGGGCTTTCGATTCTGATAACAGTAGCTTCTTAAGCTTCTTATTCGACCTTTTATCTCGTGATTTAAAAGAATCATGCAAAAAAAGAAATGAATGAATAATAAGAAATTCCAAAAGAACTGTGTTTACTGAGAATAAGAGTTTAATTACCAGTGTGTAAAAGTAAGGAAAGAAAGGGTCTTTACGATCGCAGATTTTTTGCTATCGACGAAAGTAAAAAAAATATCTATGACTTCAAACAAATATGTGCATTCAAGCATCAATGTTGGAACTATCAGTAAAAAGAAATCATTAGTGATTCACGGGGGGTCAACCACATTTGCATTGAGATATTCACAGTAAGTAGACAAAGAATAGCCTCGTTTTCCTCGGGGATAATTGAGCAAACGAAATATGAGGGTGCGAGTGAAAATTCCTCCGCGCGCGAGGAGAGGGACGCAGAGGAAGGATTGTGTCACCTTCCGCGCGTGTGGCGATTTTCACTCGCGCTTGTGTGATTCACTCGCTCCGCCATCCACGAGGAAAATGAGCGACTACTCGGACGAATACCGTACACTGCCGCGCAAGCCCCCTACTTACAACCCCCCTCCCCCTCCCCCCTGTAATTGGACCATCTTCCTATTAACGAAAAAAATGCATTCTAAGCTCCCACTAGTTTCAGTTATAAGCCCACTCTGAATTCGAATTATTATGCTTTGAAGCTTATAAAATAACTGAAAACAAGTAAACGCAAAACCCATTTTGATCAGCACTGCTACAGCTAGTTTCGAATCGCTTCTTCTATTTCGTTTATAAGCCCTCCTCGGATATAAGCCGCTCCGTTTATAAGCCACATCTAAACGTCTTACAAAGATGTATAATCCCAGGGCTTATAAACAGCAGCTTACGGTACACCAGATAACTATATTCCTTTGTACTTTCTTGTAGCCAATGGTGTGACCGTGCGATGTGGTGAAAAAGTTATGGCAATCACTCTCCCTAAATCGCTTCTCCTCGGCTTAAACCGCGAGCATCTCACTCTACGCGATGAAAATTGTGTTGCCACGGAAACCAGCACACATTTCACCCTTACCACTACATTGACGGGCTGTGGCACGATCGCCAGATACAGGGGAAAGGCAACGGTTTATAGTAACACAGTCATGGAGATACCGGTTGCAGGTGACGCGATCATAACAAGGGTTCGTGAGATTAAGATACCCTTTCGCTGTTACTACAAGAACTCTGGTCAAGCTTTTGCTGTTGGAGTTGAACCTGATACCAGGAAACTGGTTTTTAATGAAGATGGAAAAGGAAATTTCACAGTTGCTTTGGACATGTTTCCAGATGAAAGGTCTTGAATGTTACTCACTGGATATATTAGGACTAATTGTTGCTCGAAGTATTAACTTATAGGTTTTGCAACTTCATGTAATACCATGTATTACTATCATGAGGATTATGGCGAAGCAAGTACTGANGCAGGTGACGCGATCATAACAAGGGTTCGTGAGATTAAGATACCCTTTCGCTGTTACTACAAGAACTCTGGTCAAGCTTTTGCTGTTGGAGTTGAACCTGATACCAGGAAACTGGTTTTTAATGAAGATGGAAAAGGAAATTTCACAGTTGCTTTGGACATGTTTCCAGATGAAAGGTCTTGAATGTTACTCACTGGATATATTAGGACTAATTGTTGCTCGAAGTATTAACTTATAGGTTTTGCAACTTCATGTAATACCATGTATTACTATCATGAGGATTATGGCGAAGCAAGTACTGAATTTTACAACAGGAAAACAAGATCGCCATAGGGGACGTTCATCGCGCTTTTGGTTTAATATTTTGAGTAGTATAGATTATAATTAGACTTTTTTCCGGCTTGAGTGTACAGGTTTTCCTAACCAGTGGAATGGGATATATACTTAGCCTTTTGAAACAAGAAACGATTGGCATTATTTTGAAATGGGACATTTCCACAACTTAACCCCTTCTCCAAATCTCTCTGACTCCTGCCCTCCCCAGCTGAGCTGCCTTACCGCCGTGAGTGACGTCAGAAGTCCCTGTTTCAGTCCAATATTTTGTGACTGATGTCAAGAATCGTACAATAATAGTGGACATCTTCCAAATTTATTCAACGTAAGCTGGTTATGAGGATCATTCAAGCAGAAGCATCTCAGCCACTCAGAACAAGAGGAGTATTTCGAATGAATAAAAATATTTATTTTCAATTCATTAGGTTTTCTTCAGCCTATACTCCAAAAGATTACCCTGTGGAAGTCAAGTTGAGAGAGCATCTTTATTTTCAAGCATCTGTGAAAACCAAGGACAAAACTCTGTCAGTTTTAGCTGAGAACTGTTACTCTACCCCCTCCAAGAACAGAAATCATGATGACAAATATTATCTTATCAAGGACGGGTAATCAAGTAACAAATAATGTAAAAACTAATTTATATTATCAAGATAGCACTGACTATGAATAGGTGCAACGTCCTACGTTTGTTGTTGTTGTTGTTGTTGTTGTTGTTGTTCGTTGGGTCTTCTTGACTACGGCAAGCTGTATAATCGCTTTTGAATAACTTTAGGCCAGCGGTTATGAGAAATAAGTCGCCCCATATAATGGAATCCAAGGCAGTCTTTGATTTTGGATTCCACGCCGTGGATTCCGGATCCCAAGTAATGGATTCTGGATTCCGGATTCCAATCATTAGTGAGATTCCGGATTCCTTGGGCAGTATTTCGAATTCCAAAGCCCGGGATTCCAGAATCCACAAGCAAAAATTTCCTGGATTCCGGCCAGGTCCAAATTCCCTTACATGAGGCGAAAAAAGAATCAGACAACACTTTTAATGCACTGCACTTTATCAGTAACGTTGTCTTCGTGTTGTTTTGTTTTTGCTTTTAATTTGTTTCGGTTTTTTAAAGCCAATTCACCATTCCCTTGTGACTTAAGGAAATTGATGTATTATTAACAGAGAGAGATATTTGGAACGCTCTTATGATAAAATAACTTGTATTTACGACAGGGAATAGCAATAAATAGTTACAATAATTTGATGCTTTCAACTTTCAGCTGCCCCGTCGATAAATCCACCGCCGTCGTGAAGTCGATAAAAGTGAGCAAGACAAGGTTCAAAACTGAAGCCTTCAAGTTTATTGCAGATCACCCCTTCGTGTTTGTCCATTGCGAAATAAGGATTTGTGACGCAAGAAATTCAAACTCCAGATGTGCACAGGGTTGTATCACAGAAATGAGAAAAAGACGTGACGTCAGAAATGATGACGTATTGTACCCACTGGCACAGGGACCGCTAACAATCAGCAGTGATACGACACCGAACTTAAGCTCGGCTACAAAGTCAGCCTTGCAAGGTAAACAGAATGACATAATACATATAGTGTGAGTAGAATTAGGGTGCGTTCGATTAACCATATTCAGGAATAAAAATACGCATAAATTTGTGACAAATTTCTTTAGCCTGCCTCGCAGGCGCCGTAATGGTAAGGGAATCGGGACTGAAGAGGAAAAGGGAGGGATTTTGGAACCAATCAGAAATTTTTTAAGTGATTTTTAGATTTTACTAAGAAATGAAAGCTAAAAAAAATGATTTTTAGGGTTTATCCATCAATGTATTCTTAATCCAGAATACAGTCAATTGAACGCGTTCTTAATGGAACTGAGAATGACCTCATCGTTTGTGGAAGTAGCAAACGACAGACAAACTAAGTTCATGAAATTGCATCGCAGAGTTGAATACATAACTTTACCTGGTTTTAACACTAACACGTACCCACAAGTCCATTTAGGTACGCTGACCAGCAAGTAAGCATATTTACAAAAAAATCACCTTTTATATCTTTGTGTTTGTGTTTCAGGTGTTACTGTTCCCGCTGTCCTTGCAATGGCAGTAATATCTTCGCTTTGCATTGTGGGAATGGTCTGGTTACTAAACAAAAGATCCCTCTAAGCCATTGTCCTCACTCAGAGGGTTATATGCTTCTGCTATACTTCATAAGCAAGTCACATATCTACATGCTACTTCAGCTGGACATTTTGCAGTGTTTTGGTGACATTTAAGACAAAATAAAGACGCCATATTGATCTGAAATTGAAACCTTTGTAATTGAAATAAGTGACAACTATCATGAGGTCATTTCCGTCGAAATAATGACTTGTCCATAAATAAAGAAGTAAAAAAGAAATCTTGGTGTGGTTTTCATTGAACACTGGATCCAGTTGTGGTTGAAAGGGCAGTTTAGTGGCTTGGGAGCACTTAAAAATTCAATAAATATTAGAGAGTTTTATCGGACCACGCCAGGCGAAACATCAAAAAACGTGGCTCCCGGGAGCTTTTGTTTTTAAACATTGACAGTGATGAGACGTCTAAACAATTGAACCACGAAAATCCTGCAAAAAGAGTAGTTCAATGTTTATTATATGTAAGCATAACAGTGATGCTATTTGAGCACAAAAGTGATATTTGTTGAGCATAAAAAAAACGAATTATTAGAATAGCATGAGGCTTTGAATGTTCACAATAAACCGGAAAGCTCTTGCACTGGCACGAAATCCCTATCCATACCGGATAGGGATTCTGTTCACACATAGGAACGATGATTTCGGTGCGATTTCTGCAACGGAGCGAAGCTGCGCTGCGCCGCGCCGATCTCTAGAGTGGAGGGTCACTTATCGAATAGGTTCTGTAGCAGGTGACGCGATCATAACAAGGGTTCGTGAGATTAAGATACCCTTTCGCTGTTACTACAAGAACTCTGGTCAAGCTTTTGCTGTTGGAGTTGAACCTGATACCAGGAAACTGGTTTTTAATGAAGATGGTAAAGGAAATTTCACAGTTGCTTTGGACATGTTTCCAGATGAAAGGTAAATGTTACTCACTGGATATATTAGGACTAATTGTTGCTCGAAGTATTAACTTATAGGTTTTGCAACTTCATGTAATACCATGTATTACTTTGATGAGGATTATGGCGAAGCAAGTACTAAAGTTTACAACAGGAAAACAAGATCGCCATAGGGGACGTTCATTGCGCTTGTGGTTTAATATTTTGAGTAGTATAGATTATAATTAGACTTTTTTCCGGCTTGAGTGTACAGGTACTCCTAACCAGTGGAATGGGATATATACTTAACCTTTTGAAACAAGAAACGATTGGCATTATTTCGAACTGGGACATTTCCACAACGTAACCCCTTCCCCAAATCTCTCTGACTCCTTCCCTCCCCAGCTGAGCTGCCTTACCGCCGTGAGTGACGTCAGAAGTCCCTGTTTCAGTCCAATATTTTGTGACTGATGTCAAGAATAGTACAATAATAGTGGACATCTTCCAAATTTATTCAACGCAAGCTGGTTATGAGGATCATTCAAGCAGAAGCATCTAAGCCACTCAGAACGGGAGGAGTATTTCGAATGAATAAAAATATTTATTTTCAATTCATTAGGTTTTCTTCAGCCTATACTCCAAAAGATTACCCTGTGGAAGTCAAGTTGAGACAGAATCTTTATTTTCAAGCATCTGTGAAAACCAAGGACAAAACTCTGTCAGTTTTGGCTGAGAACTGTTACTCTACACCCTCCAAGAACAGAAATCATGATGACAAATATCATCTCATCAAGGACGGGTAATCAAGTAACAAATAATGTAAAAACTAAATTATATTATCAAGATAGCATTGATTACGTCCTTCGTTTGTTGATGTTGCTGTTGTTCGTTAGGTGTCCTTGATTATGGCCAGCTGTATAATCGCTTTTGAATAACTTTAGGCCAGGTTAGGAGAAATAAGTCGCCCCATGCAAAGCAATCCAAGCCAGTCTTTGATTCTGGATTCCACGCCGTGGATTCCGGATCCCAAGTACTGGATTCTGGATTCCAATCATTAGTGAGATTCCGGATTCCTTGGGCAGTATTCCGAATTTTAAAGCCCGGGATTCCGGAACCCACAAGCAAAAATTTCCCGGATTCTTGCCAGGTCCACATTCCCTTACATGAGGCGAAAAGAGAATTAGACAACGTTTTTAATGCACTGTACTTTATCAGTAACGTTTTCTTCGTTTCATTTTGTTTTTGCTTTTAATTAGTTTCGGTTTTTTAAAGCCAATTCACCATTCCTTTGTGGCTTGAGGAAATTGATGTATTATTAACAGAGATAGATATTTGGGACGCTCTTATGATAAAATAGCTTTTATTTACGACAGGGAATAGCAATAAATAGCTACAACAATGTGATGCTTTCAACTTTCAGCTGCCCCGTCGATAAAACCACCGCCGTGGTGAAGTCGATAAAAGTGAGCAAGGCAAGGTTCAAAACTGAAGCCTTCAAGTTTATTGCAGATCACCCCTTCGTGTTTTTCCATTGCGAAATAAGGATTTGTGACGCAAGAAATTCAAACTCCAGATGTGCACAGGGTTGTATCACAGAAATGAGAAAAAGACGTGACGTCAGAAATGATGACGTATTGTACCCACTGGCACAGGGACCCCTAACAATCAGCAGTGATATGACACCGAATGTAAGCTCGGCTACAAAGTCAGCCTTGCAAGGTAAACAGAATGACACAATACATAGTGTGAGTTGAATTAGGGTGCGTTCGATTGACCATATTCAGGAATAAAAATACGCATAAATTTGTGACAAATTTCTTTAGCCTGCGTAGCAGGCGTCGAGAGGGTAGGAAATCGGGACCGAAGAGGAAAAGGGAGGGATTTTGGAACCATTCAGAAATTTTCCAAGAGATTTTAAGATTTTACTAAGCAATGAAAACTAAGAAAAATGATTTTTAGTTTTCATTCATGAATGCATTCTTAATCCAGAATCCAGTCAATTGAAGGCGTTCTTAAGGGAAATGATTATGAATTTATCGTTTGTGGAAGTAGCAAACGACAGACGAACTAAGTTCATGAAATTGCATCGCGGACTTGAACACATAACTTTACCTGGTTTTAGCACTAACATGTACTACCCACAAGTCCATTTAGGTACGCTGACCAGCAAGTAAGCATATTTATAAAAAAATCACCTTTTATATCTTTGCGTTTGTGTTTCAGGTGTTACTGTTCCCGCCGTCCTTGCAATGGCAGTAATATCTTCGCTTTGCATTGTAGGAATGGTCTGGTTATTAAACAAAAGATCCCTCTGAGTCATTGTCAACACTCAGAGGGTTATATGCTTCTGCTACACTTCATAAACAAGTCACATGTCTAAATTCGACTTCAGCTGGACATTTTGCAGTGTTTTGGTGACATTTAAGACAAAATGAAGACGCCATACTGATCTGAAATTGAAACCTTTGTATTAAATTGAAATAAGTCATGAGGTCATTTCTGTCGAAATAACGACTTGTCCATGAATAAAGAAGTAAAAAAGAAATCTTGGTGTGGTTTTCATTGAACACTGGATCCGGTAGTGTTTGAAAGGGCAGTTTAGTGGCTCGGGAGCGCTTAAAAATTCAATACATATTAGAGAGTTTTATCAGACCACGCCAGGCGAAACATTATCAAAAAACGTGGCTCCCGGGAGCTTTTGTTTTTAAACATTGACGGTGATGAGACGTCTAAACAATTGAACCACGAAAATCCTGCAAAAAGAGTAGTTCAATGTTTATTATATGTAAGCATAACAGTGATGCTATTGGAGCACAAAAGTGATATTTGTTGAGCATAAATAAAACGAATTATTAGAATAGCATGAGGCTTTGAATGTTCACAATAAACCGGAAAGCTCTTGCACTGGCACGAAAAATCCGTATCCATACCGGATAGGGATTCTGTTCACACATAGGAACGATGATTTCGGTGCGATTTCTGCAACGGAGCGAAGCTGCGCTGCGCCGCGCCGATCTCTAGAGTGGAGGGTCACTTATCGAATAGGTTCTGTGCCACAATTTGGTGCTGTAAACACAGTTACTCAGACTGTATCAGAAGTGAATAAGTAGGAGCGAGGATTGGAATCAGGGGCACCCAGCGACAGTTTCGTCCTAAATGCTTTGAAAACACTTTTTAGGCTATCCAGAGTACTTTTAGATCCCTAGAAATGTATTTTAAGTGGTTCTAAAAACTTTATATCTGTTCGGTCATCCTAGGGCAACTTGAGTCTTGTCGAAATTACAAGGGCTTCGGTATTATTTTCCCGAAAATTTTAGCTACAATTTAAAGTTTTACGAAAGTGATAGTTTTTCTGATTCCTCTCTGCATCGCATTTTCGATTCCGAAAATTTTAGGTTTCCTTTCCCTACGAAAAATGTCCTAACATGGGGAGTGAAATGGAAAAAATTATACTTTAGAAAATCGTAGGGAATTTAATAATTAAGCTTCGAAAATTGTACCTGAATTGAACGGTCATCTAGAAATTTTTAGCTTTCCTCAAGCTATAGAAAATTCTAGCCAATTTGTGCTCCTCCGAACAGATATTTCACAGAAAACAGTCGTTGGGTGCCCCTGTGGAATCGAATGAGACGCAAGTAAATATTCAAGAGTGAGGACTGGCATTTGGTTCACCAAACCCTCTCATCCAACCGCGCTGGCCAAGATGTGAGTTATAATTAACGAATTGTTCCCCTTGTTGATCATTATTACCGGATAGCTTATCATGTCGGTAAAAGAAGCTATTCAGCATAGTGTCAACGTAGCTCGAAACATTCAGCATAATGTGGACAAACCTAGGCAAAAGAAAACGACTTCACAACAAGGGAAGTGGTTTGCTCAAGCCAATAGATTAAAAGGGTTGGTACACATGGATAAAGCCTGTGATGTAACTTGTTTACAAAATAAGAGAAAATGTAAACAAAGATTCGCCTTTACGGTCGCCATGACGTCACGTGAATATACTCTATTCGCCATTTTCACATTGCCCAAAATACACCTTGTTTACTCCCAAATTTTACAAAACCATTGTTTCCAATTTCTGCTGGGTTTGAAAGTCGTCCCAAGAGAAATCGAATTCAATGGTTAGACCATTTTTTTTCGGGGGGGGGGGAAGTCAACAAGGTGCAATATGGTCTATGTGGACATGGTGAATTACAAAAAATACCACACACATTGTTTTCATACAAAAGTTTATTT